ACTTTGGACTTTTAAGTTGGTGCTGGAACAAGCTAAGACTTTTGGGACTGTTGGGATGAAACTTTTGGGGGGCCAGGCGTGGAATGATGGAGTTTGGATGTATTGTCCACTCCAAAACTCGTGTGGAAATCTGATCCCCAGTATGGCAGTGTTGGAAGCTATTTGAGTCATGGGGCAATCCCTCATGAATGGATTAATACTCTCCCGGGGTGGGGGGGGAGATTAATGAGTGAGTTCTTGCTCTATTAGTTCCTGTGACAGCTGGTTGTTTAAAAAGATGCTGGCACCTCCTCTCTCTCTCTCTCTCTCTCCCCCCCCTCTCTCTCTCGCTTCCTCTTGCCATGTGATCTGCTTGTACCCACCAGCTGCCTGCCACTTTCCGCCATGAGTAGAAGCAGCCTGAGGCCTGTGCCAGATGCAGCTGTCCCAGAATCGTAAGCCAAATAAACCTCTGTTCTTTATAAATTACCCAGTCTGAGATATTTCTGTTACAGCAACAGAAACGGACTATGACAGCCCTAAAAGAAGAAAGTGGCCTGAAAGATGTACAGAATCTTTTACTCCAGTAAAGCAACCCTATATATAGTATTCCTAACATGTAATCTACTCCTAAGTGAAAAGCCTATGGTGTAGTTCATCAGATTCTTCCAGCAATGGCCAGGCGTGTTTTGAATACTGACCCTTTTCTCAGAATCCTTCCTATATATTGGAAAAATATATACACACACATAAGAGTATATATATAAATTTTATAATTTAGAGCATGTATTGAAAATCACAATGGTAAGCCAGTAAGAAATGTTCCTAAATTCTGAAAGGACATATAAGTCCCTATTAATTTTTTCTACCATATGAATATATGCTGCTATTTATACTCACACTATTTATGCTGAAGGGTCTTTTAAGTGTCCTTAAAACTGACCTTTTGCATCAAATACAAAATCCCTAGTTAGTTGAAATAAGGTGACTAATAACAATGTTTCACGTAACTTTCAATTATCTGTTAATCTATTGATACAGACACAAGATGAGAAATTTGAATTCCAGATGTCTGAGTGAATATTTTATTTTAAAAACAAACACCCAAAAAACTCTTCCCTCTACTTCTTTTTAATAAATATGCAAGTAAGAAGATATTAAGTTTTATCAGATGTTTCCTTTGACTGCTTCAGATGCTTAGAAAATTATCAGATTATACTGCGTGACAGAAAATAGTAGAAGTAACTTTAAACTGGCAGATCTTGTGTGTTATCAGTAGCACCCACTATTCCGTGAATCTGTTCTGCACACAGTGAAGGACTAAAGGAATCTTCATCAACAGCACCCCAATGCTTGTCCCACCTCCACCAAGCCCATCTGTTGGCAGTCTCCCTGACTTCTATAGCAAATGAACTTTTAACAATACTTCCTGGGATTAGCAGTAGAATATTCAAGTAGCCAAATTTTTATCAAAGCCATTGTAGATAAGAGTGGGTCTCTTTCTGGGTTATTAGTAAGAGTCCCATGGAAAGGCAAGTCCTTTGCCATGAACTTCCCAAGGGAGAAGTTCCTAAGGAGACCATTAATGCCCAAGGTGTTTGAAATATTAGCTATTCACTTAAATTTAGGAAAATTGGTGTTACCAAAAAGTCCCAGCAAATACAATATAATTCAGTCTCCATTAGAGAACAGTGAAACTGGCCGAAAACCACAGTTTACATTCCATTTTCAAAGTGAGATAATGCAAGAATGCCAAAAATTCAACAGCGCCTTCTCAAGTAACAATCTCGTCCTTGAGAGAGCTTGGGATTTTGAGTTGTGGAATTTTCCACCCATTTATCCTTTCATTTTCCATCTTCTTTGCCTTCAAGTATCAATTGACTCCTCTCAGTCACAGCTGTACAAATCACAGGACTTTTTTTTTTAATTGGCATAGACATATACATTATTCATCTATTCTGTTTTATCTGAAGGGAATCCAATAAAGAAGCAATTTTATTTCCAATGAAATATTTAAAGCTGCTTTTCCCCACAAGAGACCAGGCAGAAAACTCCATGATCTATGTAAGTACAAAACTTTCTGCTTATCTGAGCTTGTGTGAATTTGATTTAATTGAAATATAGACCGGGTTTTTTTTTTTTTTTTTCCTGTTATGATTCATAGTACTTGTGTATACATATGTAGCAAGTTCAATATTTCTGCTAGTTTGTGAAGCCTTAGATGCCATAATAATACCAAGAACACCCTGTGCTTTTCCTAACAAATATGGACTTAAAAGGTTACTTCGTTGAGTTTGTGCTGCATCCTTGATAGAAAGTATGTACATACTGCAGGGTTTGTTTTCCTCTGACTGTAACTACAGTGGAGCAGAAAATTAAAGTGGTGATTATACATGAAGTAATTTACCTTTGCCTCTGTGTTCTTGATCGAACTAGAATCCAGATTAAGGTCATCATGACCCTCACTAAGGTTCTTCTCTCCCCAAGTGACAGGGACGTGTGCCAAGTTCAACACACACACACACACACACGCGCAAACACTCCTATTTGACAGAATCCAGTTCTGATTCACAAACTCCTGCGTGAAAAGAAGGGAGAAAATGATGTTAGGTACTGAAACGTATGCTTACCACAAAGATACGCTAATTATATGACATAAGGATAAACGTTCTCTCTTCCAGGAGGCAGTGCTCTCCTCCCTACCCCCATAAAGGGTTGTGAAAAACACTTACAGAGTAGCCAGGAGAAACACCCATCTGTTCCCCAACCCCAGTGGCCCCATGTTCCACCCAGCTCTCCATAACTAAAGAATTAAGTCCTTAAATAGTAACCTTCAACTACAAATAAAAACACTGAGCAAAAATAAGAAGACGTGAGATCAATGCTCTTGTCCAAAGATAAAAGTTACATTATAAAAGAGACAGGCGTGGCTTTATAAACAAAACAGGACTTCTCAACATCTCACAACCATCTCATTAACCAATACTCTCTCATCATGAGTGATCACGGTTATTTAGAGTCAGAAGCAAAATATGGAGAGATCTGTCTGCAGGCAAGTGGAGACAAGGTGTAATGAAGGAAGAGTGAGGTGTGTGAGGAAGATGACGAAATGGACATACTTCAGTGCTTAATTCATAAGGAAGAAAATGCATCAACTTGAGCACGAATTTAACTCCTTCTGGTTGGAATATCAAATACACATATAAACAATTATTTTTATTTCTTTCAGCATCAATCCACTCTATATGACTCGAACTTTTCTTTTTCCCAATACTTGGGTTTGTTTCAAGGCTTGGTAAATGCAATTCATAAAACACTTTCATGTGTTAAAAAGGTACAAATGTCAACATCTTTAGTTGTTCTGAAAAACTCATTGATTCTGAGTCAAGGAAGTTACGTACTTTGTGATGAATCAGTTCTGAACTTCACCAAATCGTACCACTGAACTCACAGCTGGGCATTTCACATGACAGATGGGAGAACTCCCGGAACCACACACTTTAGGGATGGTGAGGGGGGTGGCCCTGCACTAGCTGATGTTGAAAAGGTCCCTAAATTCAGATATATACAGCGTACCCAGAACACACTCCAACAGCATCACGCAAGTGGTGAGGCTGACCTCTTCTGCAGACACTTGTACACCAGCCTGGGTGGGTGGTTGGTGATGTCGCCTTTCTCTTTCCCCTTTTCGGGTTGCCCTGTGTTCATACTAACCTGGTTTTGTCTGTATAAACATGTTGGGATAAACGAAAGAACTGTGGGATTTTGGATCCCATATTCCTTAGTGGAGGACTTTGTATTACTTTTGACGAAAGAATTTGCTAAAACAAATATTTTAAGAAGTAAAGTGGGAGAGAAGAGAACAGGAGTCGTTATTTACTTTCCTTGTTTTTCCCCAAGTTAAAACGTTTTCAAGGGTTAGCATATCTTATGTTTATATACAAATAAAAATGATAAAAGATAATGATGTGTGACTTTTGTTTATCTCTGGAAATGGGGCAAGGTGGTGCAGGAAGGAATAAAATAGGACAGCCTAGGTCCATAGACCATAAGCTAGGATGTGAGAGGGCATGGTAGGTTGCTAGCCATGTGAACTAGAGCCAACCCTTAAGATCAACTGGTTTAACCCAATTGTTTTATAGTTGAGAAACTGGCTCAAAGATGGAAGAATCTTTGCCCAAAGACAAAGAACTGAACAACTAGGGTTATTATATGAAAATAATCATTGTAAGCATTTTTAATTAAAAAGACAAAAATATAAATATGACTTATTGGCCATTTGCTAGCTGAGTTACCCAGAACAAGTTACTTAACCTCTCTGTGCCTCAGTTTTATTATCTAAAAAATTGAGATAATAATGTGCCTCCTTCATAGGCTTGCTAGGAAAATCAAATCAGTTAACACTTGTAAAGCACCTAAAACAGAACCTGGAAACACTAAATGTTTGATAACATCAATTGTTTATTATTATTACCACCACTAATATTGATAATTCAGATAAGCTTTTCTCAAGTAAGTGAAGTTTTGTTGATGAACTGGAAAACTCAGTCTACTGTGGATTGGCATGTCACAGTGGCCTAGGTGTTGGCATTGAAGGATACACTAAGGCAGAGCCTAGCTTCAGCTTAGAACCTTCTCCATGACTAGTAGTCACTCATTTTTAAAAACGCTTAAGTATCAATTTTTACATTGCACTAAAAAACTCCAAGAATGGAATTGAAAACCCAACCTTTCTTGTGTCCCAGTTTTGATTTTTAGAAACCTTAACCAAGTCACTTCCTCTCACTTGGTGTTTTCTGTATCTAGTATAAATAACAATCTTCGCCTAAACTGTTGGAAAGATTAAATGTACTTGAAAGCACTTTCTGTGTTATAAATTTTACAGAGAAGTGTACATTTTTTAAAGTCACAATGTATTACAATTATGAAACATTTCTCTTATATTGAAATCACTGGGGGTGGGGAGAGTCATTCGTGCTTTCTTACAAGGATTTACCATTGATTATGGAAACAGAATATGTAACCAGAACTTTCATAAAAAATGTGTACAAAAGAAAAAACACTTAGCTGGGAGTTGAAGGTTTGGCTTCTAGCCCTAGCTTTTCCATGAACACTTCATATGGCTCTGGGCAAATCATGTAGACTTCTTGGCACCCAGTTTACTTTTCTGTAAAACAGGGGGCATTAGATGATCTCTCCACCTCTAATTCTACAATTCTAAATGTCATGCATGTTTCCATGAGTCAATGAGTCACTAAAACTTGGTAGACTTCAGAAAATTATTTAATAAACAAAATGTCTCATAAGCAATTCAAGAGATATTGGAACTGACCCTCAAAGCATTGCATTATTATGTTTAGGCAAAAACTTCAAACCCAAGAAGAACATCTTGGAAAGGTTTCACTATTCTGCAATGGTGTATGGCTGTAAGTTCACACATTCACACTCATTTAAACATCTCTTATTAATTTGGGGGGGGTACTTAGTAAATGGAAAAGGATATTGCCTCTTTTAAAATGAAACAAAAGCATAAGAGCATGCTAAATTTCTATAACATTCTCAGCATCTCAAAATGCTGTGACAGCTTTTTTTTTCTCTCTCATTTTGTTCTCCTGGGTAAACACCCTCAGGGTCCTTGTCTACTGTGTATGCCAATGGAAACACAAAGACAGGAATTTGAGCCTCTAACAGAAAGCAGTTTATTAGGTTGCACAAGCCAGGAGAGAGGTGGTCTCATGACCCAAGCCAAGCTCCCCGAGTATAGCTTTGAAGGGTCTCACTACAGGAACGTATGCATATTTAACAAAGGCTGGGTTATTTCTCTGCACATTGAAGTGGAGAAGAGCACACGCAGGCATTGCGGTGTCATGTATGTTCTACGTGTCTCGTTTTTCTTGGGGGTGAAGATTTAAGGATCAAAATGAAAGGGGGTGGCCTTGTATCATTACAAGGTGAAGTCGCAGGCTGAGCCAGGGATAGTGTGCAAATGACCAAAATAGTTGTGGAGCTTATGATTGCATCAGCCAGACGTTGTTACTGTGAAGTCATGTTCTTTTCCAATCAGCATTGTTGAGGAAGGAGGAGAAAAGAAGAAAGACTGATTGCAGAAAGAAAGAAGTAGGTGGTAGCTCTCATTCAAAAAAAAAAAAAAAAGGTGTGGGGTAGCTCTCAATTTCTTATTTGATCAATGTAACAACTTTGCAAAATAGTCTGAGCCCGGAATTCTTGTACCCATTTTACAAATGAATATGCTGGGAGCAAAGAAATAAATTAACTTGCTTCCCACTTAGAGTTGATGGTCCTCACGCTTGCCTCTGATTCTCAAGGAAACCTGATCCAGTCTAGGAGTGAACCCTGAGCTGTAGTTCATATGTGCATGGCCCACCTGACTGCCAGGTCCAAATGCCTGGTGAACCATTTGCTCCCCATCAAAAGCAAAAAGCTTTCCTTCCACTTACTACCCCAAGTCACTGTCTGGGACCCCGTACAAAACTAAAGTGGTTCAGCCCTTTTAAAGGACTTCCATGGAAAAATTAAGTTCCCAGATGGAAACAATGGGCTTACTGATGACTAAATTAGACCCTGCTTCCCATACCCTGTGGTTTCTCCCCATAAATGCTTTTCCCGTAATTCAGTGGCTGCTTTGGGAGAGCTGTCCAGAACACTTTCACCAGGGCTATTTTTTCATTCTAAGATTTTGGCCATCACCTGGTCTATTTTAAAAAAGAGGTGCGGGGGTTGGGGAGAGGAAATCATGTCCTAGAGAGAAAAATCCTACAAGGTCCTAAACATTTTATATCCATGGGGATAATTAGGAGGACTTGAGAATTATACCACCTCCCCATTAACTGGTTGAGGAGTGATCCACTTCAAATCACAGACACAGGTTTCTGAAAACAAAATGTAATTTTATGTAACTGACTTACCGGCCCCTGTGGTAGAAACAGGGCTGTGATGCATTTGAAGTGCCTGACCTGGGCTTGGTTGGTAACTGGAACCCAGCAGAACCAGCGGGTTGCGAAGGCAAGGCTCACACAGAGATCAGCGCCACAGAAACACGCCTG